AGAGAAGTGGAGACCTCATAGCAACTTTTCAATATCTGAAGGGCCTACAGGGGAGCTGGAGAGAGACTATTTGTTAGGAACTGCAATGATAGGACAAGGAGTAAGGGATTCAGATTGAAGGAGGGGAAGTTTAGGTTAGGTATTATAAAAATGTTTTTCACTACATGGGTGGTGAGACACTGACACAGGTTGCCCAGGGACATGGTAGCTGCCCCGACCCTGGGGGGGTTTAAGGCCAGGCTGGATGAGACCTTGTGCAACCTGATCTAGTGAGGAGGTGTCCCTGCCCATGGCAGGGGAGGCTGGGACTAGATGATCTGCAAGGTCCATTCCAACCCTTAAATTCTATGATTCTATGCTTCTAAATGACTGGGTTTTGGTGGGTTACATTCTTCTCCGTGTTTGTGACACACAGAGAAATCCTTGAGAAATCCAGCTCAGTGCCATACTGTGTAGAGTGGGACAGGTGGACCACAGAAGTCCTTGCCATGTGGTTTGTCAGTAAGAGAAAAACGAGCTACATGAGGTAACACCGACATGGATGTAAGAGGTGGCTCTGAAATGGAGCAGGGATGGGTGTGCAGGTGTGTGGCTTCTGAATGTATTGGAGCTTTGTGTGAAGAAGGAGGTGTCACAGACAGGTGATTTAGACAGCTTGAAGAACCACTGACGAAGGTATCAAAAAATGTTTTTATTACAAATGTTGTAAAAGTGAGATTTAACAGAGTTCAATGGCAAGGCTCACTCTGGCTTACTGCTGAGGATATATTAATGATTCAGTTGCCAACACAAAATCAAAGCTGCCAATACAAAATTTAGTGCACTCTTAATACAAGGTTATGTGTGATATGTGTTACTTACCAAAGACCTGCGGTTGGTCAAGGATCTCTCAGCATTGACAAGTAACCTTCACCTCTCTGCAGCCAGCTGCTTAGCAGGGAGAGCTCAAAGAAGGCTGTTATTTATGGAATAAAGTGGTTGGCTTGTAGTCAGATTACCTGCAGTGGAAAAGGTAAGCATGAGACTCCTTGTACCCACAACTTTCTTTTTTCCTTGATAAATGAATCTTGAAACAAACACCTGCTATTCATGTGTTAATTGCCCTGTGGGTGTTCCAGAGTCCAAGCCCATATGCATCGATGCTCACCATGTCACTCTGTTTCTATGGGGGTTTTCAGAGAACAGGCTGGAACTAGAGAAGTCCATGGCCTGGTTATGTCTGAGGGTATACTGAAAAGTGAAAGAAGCAGGAACCAGTTCCTGGCTCTGAGGCCAAGAGGCAATAGATGGCTTATGTCCACATGGCTTAGGGTTAGTTCTCCTTTAATTGGGTTGTATCCCTGTTGTGTAGCTGTGGAAAAACATGGTATCTGTGGCTCTAAATGGGGGGTTTTAGTTTGTTTTGGATGCCTCAAGCTTAAAAAACACAGGGTTGTACTGCAACACACAATGCTCTTGAATTTATCCACAGTCTCAGCGTGTATGAGGAGTTTCAACCTGTGAAAATGGACCTTCAACAGAGATAACAGACCTGTGAACCATTCTGCTCACAATGAAACCTCAGCTCTTCTCTCCCATGACTCTGAAAGTTCAGCATAACCCCTCTTCACACTCTGGGTTTGTGTAGGCTTTGATCTCCCATCCTCAAGGCTAAATGCAGAAGAATGGGGTTACCCTGGGTGTTGGCGCAGTACTGCTTCAGAGGGTCAGAGCCACCCCCTCTTGCCCTGACCAGTCCCACCCCTCTGCCACTGAGGAGCACCCCCATGTTAGCTGCAGACTGCACTCAGCTCAGTTGCTTCTTGCTTCGTTGAAGGTCTGTGTCTGTTCAGAGGGAGTATGCCTTGGGATAACATCTTGCAACATAAGAACTTCCAGAGAAATGCCAAACTGTGTGACAAACCCACTGGTAATCCAGAAGTGGTATAAGCCTTTTAAACAAGTGAAAATGCAGAAAACATCTGTCTCTAAGCTTGACTTGAATGTGGAAAAGCAGATGGAAATGTTGTTAAAGCATCAAGGGGTTGGGGGGAGAAAAAAAGTACATTTTACTGCCATTGATTGTATTTCCCAGATCAGTGGTAGGAATTAATGATGCTGGGTTGGTGAGGAAAAGCTGTGTTTCTTGATGCAAGGAACCAGACCTGCTGTCAGAGACCCTGCTGTCAGCATGGTTTTTACACTCTGGATGTGCACGGGACAGGGCTTTTTGACTAGCTGTGTTTATTGTATCTATCTTCAAGCTGGTGCTTCTTAATTCTCCTCCTCCACGTGAGGATACACTGGATGTAGTGTTTGCAGCACAGCTTCTAGTCCCTTCGTGGTCTGATGCTTTTGCTGCTTGTGAATCTGACGTACCAAACCAGAGATAATAACTTATCATTGTGCAAAATTACTTTACAAGGTATGATTTCTACCTGCTTTTGTGGTATTATTGAAACAGGTTCTGCAGAAGGTGGCTGGCAAATGTCCTCTGCAGGTAATGTCTGTGGGAGTGCTCAGTCTGAGCCAACTCAGCTCTACTGTCTGCTCCTCTGCTTGCCCGTACGCAGCTCAGACCTGGGGATGTTTGTGAGTAGAGCCTCTCGTGCTGCCCATGCTGTAGCAGAGCAGCCTGTGAAAGCACTGAGAACAGGCACTGATGGGAGAATAGTTGGAAACATTCCAAGTGAAGTACTCAAAAGTGCCTGCAGGATGACACATTTGGGACTTCTCACCACCTGTCAGGGGTATTAAGAGCAGAAGAACTCCTATTGGGAATAAGTTGCGTTGAGATGTGAAGCAGAGCTCTGGAGATGCGCTGAAATGACAGTTTTTATTCACCTGCAGAGGAACGTGGGATTTGCAACACCGATGGAGGACAATGAGCGGAATTTTGGAACCAGTTTTGTCTTTTTCAGAGTGGTACCTTGTTCCTGTGAAATGGTGTCATCCAGCCTTGCAGTGTGGAAATTGCTGACTCTCTTATAGTGAGCAGGACAGTGAGCAAGATGGTCCCAACAGAGGGACAGGAGGGGTGTGAGGATGTATGAGGGCCTCATGGAAATAAATACTAGCGCCCAAGGTGAGCGTACAAATGCAAGTCATCTGAAGATTACCTATGGCATAGGTTTAAAAGAAACTGGACTGGAACACATTCACTCTTTTGGGTTTTTTTTTTCCGAAACATTATCAAGCACTGGTTTCCAGCTCCATGTGTTTCAGCAGAACTATGTGGCTCTGTAGAGCAGCAGTTTGGAAGAAGACATCACAAGGCACTTGGAGTTGGTTTTTCTCCACAGAGAATTATTTTTTTTCCTGTGTAGAAGAACAGAATTGTATTAGAAATATTTTCTTATCTTAAGATGTTTGTACCTGTGAGGGTGCTTGAATCAGAGTGACTCATTTGAATATCAT